TAATTAGCACATTTAAAACAAAATATATTTATGTTTTTCGCTTGAAATGTGCTTGTATTATCTTGTTTTTAATAGCACGTTATTAATTCAAGTTTTCCAAGGCTGAGTGTATAGTAACAAATATGGCTAACAATAACATGTGTTTAATAAAAGTATTACGATGCTTAATCGGGGGTGGGGGATGAATGGCTGCCAGAACTATTATATAATATTAAGGGCGTAGTCGATGGAAATTTTATATAACATTATAAGGGGTAGGGATGATTAAAAATGTCATATATTTGCACATATAATATGTGCACACGCGCCCCCCCCCCCTTTTGCCCCCGAATATGAATTTGGTAACCCTCTAAATTCCTTGCACATGTCAAGAAAGGTGGTTGTTAAGAGTGTTGAGCCTGGAGTCAGTTGCCTTGGGAAGGGGTGCGGTCAGAGGCGTAGCGATGGGGTGGGGGCAGGGGGAACAGATGTCCCCGGGCGCAAGCTAGTTAGGGGCGCCAAAATGTGATTTGATATTATATTATTGGTAAAAATAATGGGTTTGAGAGTTGAGAAAAAAGAAAAGGGGCGCTTTAAAATGGATCTTGTCCCCGGGCGCGAATCTTGTACCCGGGCGCCGAACACCCTCGCTACGCCACTGGGTGCGGTCCGCCCCTGGTGGAACTTTTTGCTCGTATCCGGAAATTTGTTTGAAAGAAATTTCATCGACGGTAAATTGATCGACGGTAATTTGATCGAACGGAATTTTGGTCGATTTTCTTTTCTCCACTTTTTACGTTTAATTTTGCTTCAATTTTTTTTTAAACGCATTTGTCATTTTACTATATTGTAGTGTAGAGTGCGTTCAAAAAGAAATTTGACGAAAATTTTAACGTGTGAACTGAAAAAAAAGATTCGACCAAATTTCCTTTCGATCAAATTTCCGTCGATCAATTTACCGTCGACGAAATTTCTTTTGATCGAATTTCCGGTAACTGCTCCCTCCCCTGGAGCAAAAATATGTCCAACAATAAATCAACTGGCACTGCTGGCACTGCCCCCCCCCCCCCCCCCACCCAACAGCCCCACCCCCCC